GACTAGAATGGCGACCTTTAGTATGTGCTAGAGGTAGAGCCTATTTCAGTAGACTAGAACAACGACATTTAGTATGCGCTAGAGATACTCTCCTTTTTTTTTCGCGCACCTATCTTAGTGCTTTGGCAATTTCTGGGGAGCTACGTGTCTCCGTGTTCCAATAGGTAATCTATCTATGGTTTGTCGATAAAAATCGATAGAGGGCTACGCTTACCCACAAGTTGCCTTTTTTAGGACATGTAAAGCTTCGATCAGGAGAATAAGTGGGTAGAAACCAAAATTGAATATTCCTTTGCTCAACCCAGAAAATGATGGATACATGGCAATAAGGTCTGGCGTTGCTATCAAGTAACCAAATTGCCTGCATTTGATTGCCGTACCAATATGAAGCCTCTTAAGAAATTCGACACAATGGGTTGTATTCATTTTTCCACAAATATCCTGTGGTACACACCACACGCATCTCAAAATGGTCTGGAGCTAATTTAGGGATACCCAATGTTTTTAGTTTCCGTATATTCAGTATTTAGATTATAATTCTGTTACACGTTATACGAGAAATACCAGTTTTGGCCAGTCGAGTCCTTAGATTTTACGCTATGCCATCATATGTATATATATATATATATGTATATATATACGTATGTATATCTACGACAAACCATATCCCAGCGGTTTCGCGATCGTCTAACGCCGTTGATTCGCGAAATTATACAGTATCTAATTCTTAAGCGAAGTTCGTAGAGGAATTGCAACAGCTGACTGACGTTGTAGCCAATCGAACCGTAACGTCGGCGACAGCGTTCCTTTGTTGTAGTATTCCGCTACTGGTCTCCTATATACCGAGGAGCGAAAACCGTGCGCAAAAAGAACTATCATAGGGAAAGCAGAAATACTAACATACGATGAAAAAAGGACGGAAGAAGGCCGAGAAAGGACAAAGAAGAACAACCAGAAATCTTCGTCAAATAGTAAAGATCGTTGAAGTTAGAGAAATCGAAAATATCTCGAGAAAAGCGTCAATTGCTGATGTAGCAAAATAAAGATCCGCGTCAATAAGGCAAAACAAAGACGTCTGCGGTACACCCGCCGCTAATAAGCGATAGTGGCAGTCGTTATATGGCGCCGTCGTGGGACACCTACCAGTTGCAAAAGACAGAATGGCAAACCCGCCACTCACGATGCAGCTTCGTTAAACTCGCGACAGGTAAGAAGCCAAAGTCAGTTGTATCGAAAGGTGTCATAACATTATAGGAAGGCAGAGGCTTCGCTATAGTTGTTTTTCCCATTTTTTCTTATTTGTATGAAGATTTGAACGATACGATTGCATTGGACGAAGAAGGACACGAGACTGATCGAACTAGTCAATCACCGCACCTAGTGTGAACTATAAGCAAATTTTTCACCGACCAGCTTTTAAGCCACCTGTACACAAGCAGGTGTCTTTCAGCACTTATAATCTTGTTGTTGGACTCTAAACACGTAGAGCAACTGTGGGTACGAAGATGCTATCGACCGCACTTAAGTGATAGCCGAAGATACCAAGAAAAAGCAACTAATCGAAAGAAAAGCATCGGGTAAACCAGCTACCATCATTTTGCTCCAGCACTGACACAACCCGAAGCCAGGTTTTAGAAGCTACACTAACGTTCATCGCGAAATAGCTGAAATCATCTTTTGCCCAAACAGAATCCGGAAAAATACACCAGCGGGAAAAGACAGACACTGATTGACGAGCAAGCGAAAGAACTACTGATACAATTTCCATCCCGAGAGAAATGACGACGTCACCACATTGATATCTTCAGCACATAATTGGTACACGACATTTGTAGTAATATATGAGTATAGTGCCAAGTTGAGGAAATGGAAAAAGAACCTTAAAATTTAGTAAAGGCTACACTTCTAGACGACGGACACCGGAAGTGTCTAGATATATGCGAACGGTCCGCCCGTTGTTCTCTACGGAGTTGGCAGAAGAGGTTGAACCCAGATAGCTATAACGTTACCTCGGACGACACGCGGCGTAGAACTGTACGACCATTCATCGTTTAACCAGACAGAAACACACTGAGCGAACGTCCAATATTCGATTGCTTGATGTTATTGTGGCATAGAGCGTATTGTGCGTACATTAAAAAAATATCAAACGTTGATCATTGAGAAAATTGGAAAAAGAACACGCCAGCAAATAAGAAAGAGGAAAGTTGAAAGACGCCTATAATGATATGCAAATAAAAAAAAAAAAAAAAAAAGATATCAGAACCGTCATTTTGGACAACGGGAGCAAAAGCGGAAGAAGTGGCTTAGAATTAGATAAATGACAGGATCCGATGGGAGGAACTCACAGATGAGAACGAGAAGACACAACAAAAACTGGTCGGCCGATAATGGTAGCCGATACCTTCCGATTACAAGCTCTCCTTGGCCTGCCAGTATTGTTGAAAACTTCCTAACGAAGCCATTGTAAGCAACCAACCCTTGTAGGGTGTCGCTATTCAGCCCCGATGACCGCCCTCGACCGCTCCGGCTTCCAGCGACACCCCCAGAAGCCCAGCAGCACGAATACAAACAACAGCAACAGCAGCAACCTCAACCGCTGCTGTACCAAGCTGTTCAAGTCTATCGACAAACTGGTCGGAAACTCGAACGTTCGTGTATCTGGTGTGGGTGCGCTACAAGGTAGTGCCGCGTGGATGAGCTGAGCGGCCCGCGATCGTCTGGGCGCTCCCCGCGTCGTGTGCAGAGCAACAAACAGCAGCAGCAACAGTAGGACCCGCAGCAGCGGCAGCTGCGTGTCACAATAGTGCAGCAAACGGACGTGCACTGCTCGCGCTAGCTGAGGTCTCCCTAAAGCCTCAAGATAAGCTGGAACGTCGGCAACAACGCGGGCGGGCGGCGGCGAGTGTCGTCCGCCGCCGCTCCATCCGCCAGCCACGGTACATTCGCCGATAAATGGGGACTCACACCCGTACTTAAGCCCAACAGCCAAACAGCGACCCAACCAGCCACAGCAGCAGCAGCAGCAGCAGCAGCAGGTGGTGTAATCGCCGCTGGTGGTGCTGTAGCTGGTGCCGCTTCCCATCAACCCGGCATTCAACAGGCCCAGCAATCCGGCGGCAAAGCCGGAAAGTTACAAGGGCCAACCGTCGTGTTCGTACCCGGCGAAGGCATCAAAACCGTCGAAAGAAATAGGTACGTTATTCTATGTGACTGTGTAATCACCATTTGGTCAGTTTCAACAAGCCTTCATGATTTCCTCCCCCTCCCTCCACATAACCTTTCCCTCTCACACAATTGGTTACCCACCAACTAAGCCCCCACTACTTCGTTACTGTCTTACCTAAAAATACTTCCTTCTGCACAACTAGTAAACCGACCCCAAATATTTTTTAACCACTCAGTTACCAATTTAGCTTAGCCACACATGTTGCCCGCACAGTGACTCACTCACCCATCCCGGGAGCCAGTCAACCTTTTAAGTTCGCCCCACGTTTAGTGCTTGACGCTCCTTGCTGTCGATTCGTGGTTTTCCATTTCCCGCAACCTCAACTTTCCCTTGGTGGCCCTCCTAGCTTTTTTGACCTAACGAGCACAAGATCGCTTTCGATCCCACGTGCTGCAACTATTGCAGCGTTGTGTTGAAGCAAAAGTACATACTACGAAGAAGCGTTTCGTTCGTCGACTGGCATCCAGAAGACGCGCAGTGAGGAGGTTCTGGGAATTGAGAATTCGAAGGTGGAACAGATCGAAAAGGTAAAAGCAGTCTTACACAGCACCGGCTGGGCGCTTCTAAGGTACGGTCGCTAGCGATCGCATGGAGAGAGCTCAAGGCTCCCAAGCTGGAAAGCAGGTAGAAGGCTTTTTCATGGTAGAGGCATCAGAAGCAAAATGCGAATCGGCCGAGGAGAAGCAGTGGCTGGATAACGCTGGCGGTCGGTTTGTCTTTCCCAGAAGAAGTACTCAATAAGATTTGTTTCCCTTCACCTTTATCTTTCCCGGCATTCACAGACGCGGTAAAAATGAACATACTGACGTACAAGAAGAGATTGTCAGATTGGGGATTAGCATCTAGAAAGCAATGAGGTAAAGATTCAATTTCTGAGTATTTCTTCAGCCAACAGGAATTAACCCCGTCCCCTCTTGTCCACCGAGCGCCTGACCGTCCTATTTTCGTTTTGTCCTCTAAAACATCCCTGAGTATTCGAGAAACCATCTTCACGTCCACTGTACTTTTCGAACTGCCCAGCCGATAGCGGCTCCTTCTTATCGATATATGTAGCTTGGTAAATGTCTCCTAACAAGAATTTCCTACAGTGTTTCGTCTATGATTCGACCAGAAGTAAACGCTCAATTTTTACCAGTATACGTGAGGGTCATGGACATACTATATTTTACGTACTTGCTTTATCTGAGTCTCTGGGAATGTTCTCAATGAATGCGAAGCACGTCGGCGTTACGATTATTGCTAGACTTTTCGTGTAAAGAGTCAGAGAGCATGGTACGCTAGGGCTTAATGAACACACCAATAAAAAGGCCACATAGCCTTTAACACGGACTCGAGACGGGTAGAAGTGTCTACTTGATACAAGGAATAGTAAAGCGATCAAAGAGAGCTCAAGAACAAGACGGACAAGCAACAGTAGCAGTATATATCCGGTTGCTAACTTGTCGTGATTGATCGCTAGCCACCGCGTATAGTTGAATACGAAACGAGATGACCATGAATTATGCGGAAGACCATGTCCTTATCCGTCCGTCCACCAGGGTGATCGACGTTTGCGACGACTTCGCCTGTTCACACTTTGCCCTGGTACCCTAAAACTATCCGGAAATATGCCTGCGTGCGTAGGCAAACACGTAAGGAAATTAGCACCCACTGAAGCAGATAGCACAGTATTAAGTACAAACAAATAGCCTGAACTGAGGGTTTACGATTAGCCTCTTAAACGGTTTTTGGCGAACGATGAAACATAATCAACGGCAGTAGCGCCGTGCAGCATTTAAATCTGATTGGCGATGTCTCATAATGGAACTGCGGTCAACTTGCAGTTTTTAGAACTCGTAAAACTCCTCTTTGTTTTCACACAAACAGCGCTTAGTATAAGACCTTTCGCACTCGCTTTGTGCCCGTTTTATATTAAGTCTTCCCTTTTGTCACACCTGAAAAAAAAAGTCTAATACGAGTTATTTTTTTAAATGAGGCAAAAAAGAAAGTCGTTTACGTAGCGTAAAATGCCATAACTTCTGATCTCGATTTATTAGAAAATGGCTATTTTTAACTAAGTTCACGCTCATCTGTGTGCCGATTGAAATAAAAAATTCCAGCTATACCGCCACTCTTTTCTTTTAAATTCTGTAAAAGTCCTAAACAGGTATCTTTGTTTCGAGGCCTGCGAAGGGTTTTCGATTGAAAATTCGGAGATATGCATATTAGCAACCAACAAATATGGCAAATGTATGAACATGTAAAAAAAACAGGATAGAAGCAATAACAGTTTTAATGTAACGTCATCTTTATACTGAAACGGCAGTTAAGGCCTGCAGTTGCTTGGTATATTGTAGGTTATGCTGTCACAACAAGAACTAGCAGCTACTCAACGACGTACACAGGGGTCAATCTAATAAAAAAGAGACATGACCGCGCAAAACTGCCCGTACAATATATTGTTGCTGACCCACAATTGCTATCATTATCAATAACTCAGTTGCGAATTGCAGCTTCAGGACACGATGTTAAGTTAGGCTGTTGGGTCAAGCGGGTCACTGGTGAAAAGCTATCCCACTCCAAACATATTACCGCTGACTAAAATGCTAATTTATAGTGTTGTTGTTGTTGTTCCTGCTGTTGGTATTTAACATCTGCTGTGTCTTTTCCCCTTGCGCAAGTCACAGCATCGGCTGCCTATTGTATACCGATAGAGTCCCGGACCTGTGGCTGCTGCTGACTTTATGGTGCTATGTGTCTATGATGAGCAATATAAAAGACCTTTAAAAATTAGCTCAAAGAGCCATCGACCACGCCAGCCACAACTACAGTACGCGTTGTGTGTTTGTGCATGTTATGAGGCTAGCCTAAGCGGCTTGCTTAGCGCCTGTCTACTTTGTCTGACTGGATACTCTCATACGATTGCCATTGCGCGATGACAACGAGACAGAACCGGCGTCAAAGAGCGTACCCGCGCACAGTAGCTGCTGCTGGGAAAGAGGCGGGCTGGCCCTTAGCAGGCCGGGGTAAATGGCTGGTCACTTGTTCAGGCAACGGCGGTCGACAACAGGAAAAAAGCAACAGTAAAGCGCAGGGCCCCCGATGAAATCGCAACAGAAGCAGTTGGTACCACTACGAGCATCGTTATCGTCTATGACCACGCTGCTAACGCTGAAGGCCACCGAATGCGCGGGCCCTTCTCCAAAAAGGCTATGAAACAACGTGTTTTGCCCCTCTCCGGCGCATGCTGCGCTGCTGCCTGGTCGCACGCCAGCACCACTACGAGCGTCATCGTAGCGAGAATAACAAAAGTATCGCCGCCACCATCTTCTTTTTCTGTGTGGTGTTTTTGTTGTCGTACGGGCAGAAGAAAGGAATAATAGACATAACGAGGAAAATGCCAACAACGATTGCAACAAGAGGAAAGGAACGTTGCCAGCATGAAGGAAGGACAATAACAAGCAATAGGACGCACAAAATCACAATCCTAACATAGCCTTCTTGTTTGCCTGGTCGGGATTCACAAATGTTTCCACTTGAACCAGCTCGAGGGGCGGGCGGCACCTGCGTGCGATTGGATGAATTTGATATTGAATACATGTGCAAACCTTTCGGCATATGCAACATGTGAACAATGTGGCAATCACGTCAACAAAAACAACAAGAACCTTTACTCGAAAGACTTGTGTGGTGCTGGGTAGTAGACGGAAGCTCATGTTTGGGGTGACACCGACTTTCACTGCGATCATTCCTTAGGTTCTTCAAATTGATTTTCCTCGTGCTTTCATAGAACTGCGTTTGGATACCTTTTATCTATTCTCGTTCGCCTTTATCATCACGTAATGTGTCTACTTTTAAAGCTATCATTGACGGTGAAACGCTTTTAAAGAACTAAGCACAGCGTCTGCTTCTAGTCCGAAGTGCTGCCGAAAGCAACTCGTCGTATAGAAGTGGCCGATATTTTCCTGAGTGTTCATATGCAAGGATACGAAAGTGTGAGGAACCGTCCATGTACGTCACGTTACTGCGAAGCTGTTCACCTCGTCGTAGGAGAGTGATGGTGACGGTGACGGTGACGCTGCTGCGTATGGCTTTGTCATAAAGAATTGTGTGCGTTAATCATTTATACCATAAAAGAAATTGACGGAACTGCAGGTCTGTGTTGCGACATAGTGATAGAGACGGGCCACGAGAAGTTATTGACGCCTGTCATAGTTGGGCTGAAAAGGTAGAATTAGTTTTATTTCTAGTATATGCGGGGAAAGTATATGCGGGGAAACAAAGCGGGGAAAGCATTTGTTCGATCGTTACAATGCCGGTGATTCTATAGACTGAACAGGAACGCTGCTTCTTTTACTCAGCGAACATTTTGCTATTGTCTAATTAAATTCATGTTAATTAAATTCAAATTGTTAAATTCAGAACCTGAAAACTCTTCCAAGCCAGTCAGAGATCATAAACAGGCAAAGCCAGAAATCTGCTATATCAATTCCGCAACGATTCGGACATTGATGTAACTATATGTCCATTTGCCAATAACAAACTTATAAGCGCGTTAAGGTCCGCGTACGTAGCGCTCCGCGTGGCAGCATCGAGAGTTGCGCTTATTGAAGTACTCTGTTGCTGCTGCTATGAGGCGGCCGTCGACGTCTGGATGTTCCGCGTTAGCACGGCTTACGGGGGCGGTGGTGGCTCCTCGGAACAGCGTGTCCCGGAGCGTACCAATGTCACGCATCACCTACAAACCAGCTGGTCCGATCACAACAAGAAGTACGTGTGGTCCTGTTTGCTCACATTTTCACGTCTCTGTTCTATAGTGTCCTTATTTTACAAGCGTTTTCTTTCAACAACCCTTACTATTTACCAACCTCTGTGTACCTAAGGAATGTTTACTGGTCCTGAATGATTTACCGATCTTAAATGAGTGTGCTCGCTCGGCATGAACGCTGATATATGTTCGTGTGCATACATCACAGTGCTGCACTATACCCAGTCTGTTATATAAACCGTCACCATAATAGGCTTTTTGAGTTTCTAGCAAAGAACCTAAGCTATGCCCGATAGGAGTAACGGCTAAAAACGATGACTGCAGAGGGCGCGGAATACAAAGAGGGTGAGTGGGAGGTCCTTGATAAAGGGTAGTAAGGTAGGGAACGATTAGAAAAAAAAGAAGAGGTCGTGATTTCGAGGGCTCCGTGAATCAGTCGATCTACTGTCTCCTGTTCCATCGTTGTCTCGTTCAGCTCCGCGGGGCGTTCAATTCAAAACAATTCTGAGCAAAGAAATCACATGGCCCTCAACGACGACGCCTCTGCTGCTAGTATCTCTGCTTAGAATAGCTTTTAGGATGTTGTTCGGTTCGACCATGTATTCAGCGTCATGGAAGCTGTTTTTTTACATTGTCGACTGTCGCTAGTCAGCGTAGAACGGCCACGGACCACATGGCAATTCACTAGGACGCGCGATTCGCGCCATGCGAGGTGTGATGGCCTGATAGCGCCAACCGACGAAATGAGTGTGCAGTTGAGGTTCTGCGCTAATGGAAATAGTTAACGCTGATGGGAGCAGCGTGAACAAGTAACACCTTGTTGCCATCTTTGATTGTATCAAGAATGATGCCAAAGACATTCACAGTGATATTTTTAGCTTGTTTATTGAAAAACGTTTTTGGTTAACGACAGATACTCTCAAATTCGTCTCGATTTATGAGACATGTCATCGACTTAATGGAATAAGGAGAAAGGCGCGTCGTTCTCGACGTGATTATGATGATCTATTAATTGAAAATGATGCTACTTGGAGATATTTAGCTTTTCTAATATCTAAGGCGGAGGCAGGCTTAGGGATTAGAAAAAAAAAGTCTTTCGTAGTTTACATTAGAAAACAAGCAAGCTTATTGTTACAGTTTAGGCAACTAAAAACGTCAGACCTCGCCTCTGGTAGCTACCAAAAAGTGTTTCTGCTCCAGTCCAAACTTTTTTTTAGCCAAAAGTGGCCTGAAAATGGCACTTGTGACAACTGGCCATAATGGCTTTCAATTCGGCAAGTAATGAGGATGTCGAATGTGTATATAACTGAATTACGTTAGGCCTGATTTTCCCGTTCAGATACCACCAAAAAATTGCGTATGGGCAAGGCGTGATTAATATATTGCCCTTCATTATTAACATAGCAAACCGTTGTTTAGAACGAGGAAAAAGTTTTTTGTTGAGTTCTTCGAATCTACAATATTTTATGATATTATATTGCAATATTTATATGGTTATAATTGAATATAAATAAACTTTCTTTCGGAAACTAGAGTTATGTAATGCTAATATAAAAATCAACTTTAGGACATCGCTTCCTATATATATATATATATATATATATATATATATATATATGTTTTCCAGCTTGTCATTATGTATTATAATCACTGCACCTTGGTTCTGTAAAAGCATGATTAATAGACCTTCTTAAAACAACTATACTTAGCCTGCGATTATTTGAATATGTACGACTAGCGTGAATTGCAAGAAAAGATCTTATGGATTTGGTTCGTCTTTCTGCTGAATTTGTTATTATAGGTCGCCGCCCAAAATAGTCGGCTCGACAGAAGGGTGTGACCAGGGCACCGATATCCAAGCGGGCGAAGCGAATCAGGGCTTCTATCAGCAAGCTCCCGGAAACGGAGGAGGCGGGGGCACTGTAGGTACCGGAGGAATCTCAGAAGGCAATTTCGAGCCCATCCCTCACGACCACTCACTTTGCGAGAGGGTCACTATTAACGTATCCGGCCTTCGCTTCGAAACCCAGCTCAGGACTCTAAAACAATTCCCGGACACTCTTTTAGGTAAGTTCTGTGACAGCACACGCCTAATAAGAACCAGCTATTACATATATTGTACAGTGTATGCTATAAAAATTGGGGTATCTTAGTACCGCCCATTGTGTACCATCTAGTTCTTGTGGGTTTAAGTTAGAAGGGGCATGTGATCGTTTTCGTCTATCTATGACGTGCTATATGCTATATACTAAGGAATACGTCCTTCAGCGCTACAGAAGACTATGCCATCCCAGGTTTAAAACCAACGTCCCCTTGAACGTACTCTTCTTTTTTGACGAGCTTCGTTATCATCTCATTTCCCGATTCCTGCCCTCAGCAGGCATGCAGGCTATTCATCCGCTAGGTAAACCATGGGCCCCATCGGTAATGAACGCCCTTTGGTACACAGGCTCTTCTTGTCAGTAGTTACGTATTCGGGCCCTGGTTAGCCCATACGACCTTTTTAATGCTGTCTTCACGACGCACACTGCTAATTGGGGTGGCGGTATGCCAAACAACAGCACGTATAGGAGCAGTTTACCTCTCAGCAGAGTAGACGACGATCGGGCTTTAAATCACCTTAAACATTCCATTGAAATGGACGTTGATGGGGATGGAAAATTGTGTAGGGTATATAAGACATAGGTCACGCGATAGTGGCAGCTTTCATACCGTAAAAAGCAGAAAGCGCCTGCCAATGACCGATTTTAGGAATTGATGTTCTTCCATTTTGACCTGGTTTAGCAATGGAAATTTCGACCATCATGGCTTATCTCAATGTGAGGTGAGGCCTCGGTAGAGGTTATCTTTTAAACAATAGCAGTATTCAGCAGATCTTTGACACTCTACAAAGGCCTCGAATATTTGCTAGTTGAAGGACTCATAGATAATAGGATGGCCCTTCCATAATCGCGACGACTACAGGAGTATTCGTATAATTGACTTATCTGGATCACTTGAATCAGCGTTTTTTCTTTTATTCCGAGCGAGTTCACCGCGAACTTAAATGACCAAATGAATGAGTTCACTCCCCGTTCTCATATTCTGAACGAATCTTTTCAGGCGATGCGCGGCGGCGGATTCGCTACTACGATCCGCTACGCAATGAATACTTCTTCGACCGAAATAGGCCATCGTTTGATGCTATCCTGTACTACTACCAAAGCGGCGGTCGGCTCAGAAGGCCGGTACGTATTTTTCTAATTAGTCAACATTGTTTTTTTAAAATTCTTCAAATGGGAAATGGTATTTTGCCTCGGCGTTTATTATTCTGACTAGTAACTTGCAACATTCCGTAAATCAGGAGAGATTATAAACTTCTCCTGACTTACATTATAATCCCCTAGTGCCACTGAATATTATTCAAAGGCAAGTAGCTCGAGTCGTACCCACTGTTTGAGCAAGGATGTTTTAGTCATTGTGAATTAATCAAGAGTTTCAAAGGCGGAATTGTTCGTACCTGTGCCGTTTCTTGGCTCCCTCACCCATCTGCTTCTGGTGCTCCATTGTGATACGGTAAATTAGTATTTTAACGTCCTATGCAGTACGAATATTTCGTTTTCATTGTTCCTTCCTTCAAACTTACTTTTTTGCATTTCTCAGAGAATCCGTTGGACTGAAAGATAGGCAAATGGATATTTGTTTTAGGTGAGTGTGCCGCTGGACGTGTTCGCCGAAGAGATCAAGTTCTACGAGCTCGGGGAGGGAGCGTTCAACAAGTTCCGCGAGGACGAGGGATTCATCAAGGAAGAGGAGCGGCCCCTGCCCGCCAACGAGTTCCAGAGAAAAATGTGGTAAGTTACCGACTCAGATTACAGTGACTATCCACTTGCTGACCCGTGTAGACGGTATTCTGATAGGAGAAGCTGAAGCAGCTGCAACAATTGCAGGCTTCTTTCCTTTCATTACGCATAGTTTAGAAATACGTAGCTGCCACATTCCATGGTTGCTGGGGAAATTCTGCGCGAGCAACGGAGTATCTTTATGAGAATGAATGTGTTGACATGGGCCTTCATCGTTTCTGCCTCTCGGTTTCCTTAAAGTAATGGCCAGCTCCAAAAAATACCGATTTTCTGTTTTATGCCGGTAGCCCCTACCGAATATAGTCTAGCAGAGCATAAACACTGCACTTAAGTGACTCACATAGCCTACAGCTGCTAGATATTCTAACCGTCTTTCCTGGAGTTGTGCTACAGCCAACCACGTCCCGTGTTGATGTTCATGTCTGCTGTCAAATGTTTGCGTCCCCTAAGGTCGGATAACCTGTGCAGATTTATAAAGGCGTGTCTGGCCAAGGCACTTGCGAAATAGGTAGCTAGGAGGGATGACGGAAAAAAGGTGTATAACTCGCCAGTGATAAAAGTCGTCCTAGCAAATATCTTTCCTGCACGTTAAAACATGCATACGAGTGCCCTTGGTCCAGCAGTTTTCTCGTTTACGCAAGCCTATTTCTCTGTGATGGCTTGTAGATTCCAATAGATGCGTATTGTAGCTTGAAATGAAGTACATACTTCCGATAATGCCAAGAAAGTCTACACCTATTATTAAATCGTATTTAATAATGTCGTTAACAACCTCTCAGAATAAATTATGCCGTTCAGCGAGAGTCGTCCTAGTTATAGTGGTAACAAACAGCCTTAGCACTGTAGTAACAGTCCGCGATGTGCTAAAATATTATACGCATAAGAGCTACTAGCATACTGATAGGAGCAAATGAATACATCATAAGGCGATGGCAGTGACGTCGGCCGTTTTCTACCCTGTTTCAATCCTGCGTGTCAGACAATTCTTTCTGTTATTACTGTTTCGTATGTACCCTCCCAGGTTATTATTTGAATATCCAGAGAGCTCACAAGCCGCACGTGTGGTGGCCATCATCTCTGTGGTCGTGATCCTGCTTTCGATCGTCATTTTCTGCCTCGAGACGCTGCCAGAGTTCAAACACTACAGGATGTTCGCCGTCGCCGGAAACAAGACTCGCGTGGTCGAGGACGAAGTACCCAAACTCACCGAGCCATTTTTTCTTATTGAGACATGTTGTATCGTCTGGTTCACATTTGAATTGGCTGTCAGATTCTCCGCCTGCCCGTGCAAGTTCGCGTTCTTCAAAGACGTCATGAACAGCATCGATTTAATTGCCATCATTCCCTACTTTATCACACTAGGTAAGCCGTGGCTTCGATGTATTGCACTTCGGGACAGTATACGAGAGCACTTAGAGCGTACTATGTAATTTCAACATTTTATGAATATTTTCACAGCATCTTTGAGGGCCCTTCTACAGTACGTCATTCATGCGCTAATACATAGCTTGATTTATCTGTATTTATAATAGCTCATATACTATCTATTTTTCTTAAGAGTATATAATAATATGCGACCTAGTTTTTAAGCTTATATCACAAAGACATTAACCAATGCTAGCGCAACGTTTGCTCCTTAGCTCTCAAAAACGACCATCCTTTTCCACCGAACTGTTAGAAAAATTTTAAATACAATATATAACTAACGTAGACAAAACAGATTAGTAGAGTCATCTGATGATTCACGCGAAGCTAAACATGTTGAGGATTTCATTGGCAACGTCTGAATATCTTATCGTAGGCCAAACGCCGCAATAGCGCCAGTGTTATATTGTATTTATGTTACCTTTTTACGTAGACATTAGCAAAAAGACGCCTTTTTTGTAGTTGCGTTTTGCAATTCTGCCTATGGACGTGAAGTTTCAGAACATACCGCCGTGCTCCTACCAGATCCAGGACACCTGATAAGCACAGTTGTTTTTATAATAGAGTCTATGCTATCTTATTGTTATCGTTATTACTATATGTTGAAAGGGCCGATAATGGCGGTATGCTGCACTTGTGGCTTCAGTGTGCTTCGCATTACATTAGGTCTAGTTTTGATATACATTTCACGCAGTTTTTATAGGCCATCGATTGTTTGCATTGAACTTCACTTGTTTGCATCGATAATTACGTCTACCCGAAAGCTCTCCAGCTCTGGCGATTGTATTTGGCGCGTACACAAACACAGCAAACGAATGCAACGAGTATAAAAAAAAATATTTTCTCAAAACTTACATATTATATATTGATCGAAATTTTGAAACTGACAACGCCATTACGTCGGAAACGTTTCGCGTCGGAGACCTTGTATTCAATGTTCGTTCTTATTGCAAGTCTTCATCTTCACACGAATGATAACGAGCTGTTAAGGTCTTCAAGCGGCCATATCTACGCAATTTGCGTTATCGTGATCTGTCCAATTTGTGCGATTTGGATTCCAACTGTCGTCGTCTTTTTATTCATCCATTCCTTTCACTGAATAAGAGTGCAGTCATCATTTTAAAGCAACATTTTTACCCAACTCAAACCTTATTCGTAGCACACGCAACGGATTTGAGTTAATAAAAACCCTTAACACAAATACGTTTGGACCTGTAAATAGGGCAAACCGCGCGGTCCTTTCAGTTATAGTCGACATAAAATACTATTCTAAACGAGTCGTGTCGAGCTCACGTCGATCGATATTACTCGGTTAGTGACTTGGGGATGATCGTGTGCTATATCAATGCGTTGTCCGAGTTTGGCATCAACAGCGGACTTAGTAACGCCGCTGCCTCAAAACGGGCACTTATGTGATCTTGGACTAGCATCGTTGCAGCTCGTTCCAGCGCTTTCCTGTCAGTTTGCCTTTGTCAATGCAAGAAAGCGTATCAAACAGAGACAAGCTTGATAGACGAACAGTAGAGAACAGCCTGACTTATCCATTACTGGCAGGCAAGTAGCAAAGAGCGAACCAACGAATGCCAGTGTAATCTCTAAGGAGGCACTCTGCTAAGATCTGTTATTTGCAGACTATAAGGCACCGCTACCGGCCCCGTTTGCGATGCGCGAGGCAACAGTGATACCCAGTAAGACTGGATGAACTGATGTCAGTTTACCAAGGTCCACCTATAGATGGCTGTTGCCAGGTTGCCACTACAGCTCACAGGTGTCAGTAGTAGTAGACAAGCTCAGGTCGCAGGCTAAATAGGTTGAGCACGGAAAACGTTGAATACTGCGGTATTGATAATAGGCCTTCTAGTTTCACCACGTTCAGTTGGCCATCCAGCTGCCATTCGCTTCGCCCTTGCTATCTTTTCTCGCTTTTTTTTTTTTTCTTTGCTTTTATTTCATCGCCGATTTTTTCTGTTCTTTTACTTTCCGAAAGACGTACGCATACAGTAATTATGACAGGGAAATATCAGATAGGCAAAAGATTGAATGAGTCTGTGGGCGTGCACCATCGTCTTCGTGAGAAATATGCATTTAAATATATTGCTAAACGTACTGCATTGGCTAAGAGCGGCGAAAATATAGGTAACAATCAATCGATCGAATCAGTGGCGATAGAGAATCTACATTACTCTACATAATAAGCTCTATATTTTTATTTTTCGTGCTTAGAGGATTATATTTGGAAGTTGAACGAAGATAGTGTGGTTCCCTTGAAGTAAGTTTAGTGCGATAGAAGCTTAACAATACATTGTATCCACCCTATACACGTTAGCACTTCTATATATGATAATATATGATTACAAAGGTGAAACAATATTAAAGAAATATGAAGCCATATTCTTAGTGTTGTCAACAACTGAAAGGTTACGGGGATACCTACCCTAAAGGATTTAAGAGATTATTCTGTAGTTATTTGTGATGTTTCTTTAATGTAAACAAAATGTACTAAGTCGATAATTCTTGTAACATTATTATCTCAAGTTAGCCGTATATAATCCCCAACATTGTATGTCTGTAAACAGCAAATAATTATTTTAAATAAATTTTCTGTGAAAAGCCTAGGTGCACATCTAAATAAACATTTTTTATTCTCAAAATTTTTTTATATATACAAAATGCCTAACCGTTATAACTAAACTGAAAGGGATGGTAATCGTGTAGGCGAGGTCAGCGCTTTGCTTTTGGCTCCTGGCCTAAACCTGAGCTATCCATTGTTTAACTGCATTAAGATAAGACGCGTTGGCAAAACCGCTGCATGATCTTTTCCGTGTTTTTTTTTATGTTCTGGTTATGGTCGTGGCGGTACGTTTCGTGGAACTACCTCGAACTAACACCTATTCTTGGTTGTTCTGCTAACACGTACCCCAATGAGCTCAGTTCTAAACTAGTTTCTTTACCACCTGAAATCTCTACTCGATCGTTAAATTAAGGTTTCGAAGCTCATTACATCAACACGTAGTTTTTTCGATCTAGTATCTCTCTGCTCCATACTGCTTCTGAGTATTTATGCTCAATCAAAGGTTAATATCGTGTAGTAGCTGCGCTGCGCTGCGCTGCACACCTCATTCAGCTTTTTCGGTGAAGCTATACAGCCTCAGTATCGCTGCTCCGAATTGAACGTGCATCAGACCTATTAATCCAGTAAAATGTATGCCGTTTCATCTCCGTGTAATTGGCACACTAGTTTTTTGAAAAAGAAGTCCTTCCCGTATCTTCGTATTCTACTCTATCATATCATGTTTTCGATATCTCCAGGTGAAAACTCCCGAACCGCTCATCGTGGCGGTAATGTTTCTAGCAAATTTCTCAATGATATATTGTTACTTTCCTTAGCTTGAAAGCAGAATTCCGTCCTTTTCAATGATCGCTTCGTTCCTCTTTTTTCAACATCAAGTTCGGCGCTGGACGATTCGCAAACGTCGGAACTCGATGTTCTAATTGAGAACAGCGTAATTGTGCTTCTTCAACAATCTTTTTTTCGCGCTTTACTTTGAACTGCCTCAATCAACTCCTATAGAAATTCTTTTGTTGTCAATTGTTAATTTTCTTGTAGTTTGATTTTTTTTAATTAAAAAAAAAAAAACCTAGATAGATACTTTCTTCCTCTGACAGCCATCTTCATCGCTGTTTTTTTATTCTTTCACCTAACTTACATACGGTAATTGCACCAGCTAAAGGGGTAATTAGCTTTGGAAGCCAATTCCTACAAGTTCTCGCTTTCGATCACCGATTATAAGCTCCTCTATTAGATACAAGGAAAATGCTAATGGTATTTGTTCTAGCATGTATGCTTTCGGATGTTCTGGCGTCGGAACTAAACGGTTGGTTTTTAGCTGCATCTTAGATATGTTAATTGTGAGCTCCATTAGAGAAACCAACGTCCGACGGAGTACCCAAGTGCTTGGACATACGGCTAGGCAGTAGGAAACATTAAGACAGGTAACAATAAGTTCTTGCCTAATGTTATTAAGATACTGTGTAAAGAACGCATATTGACTCTTGTGGGACCGCTTACTGGCTGGAGCCTTTTCTACGTTTCGCTGCGGCCTTCGGTAAGCCGCTGCTAGTGCCCCTAGGTACGATGCTAGTCTTAGATCCTCTTTTGATTGTTGGTCAGACCTCTGACTGGTTCATTTTATTCTATGAACACGACGCCAGTTAACAATTTAATAACAGTGCAGTCACTTCGAGTAGCCATTAAGTAACATTAAACCAGCCAAATTCACTAGAGGGAGAAAGCAAATTTGATATACAATATAAGCGTTAATGGTTATAAATGTAGTACGATGGAACGATCTACATTCATGAAACGCTGTAGAACAAGCTATGTAAACGACTAAATTTTTTATCCGGAGTTAACATGTGTTCAAAAGCAGAGTGCGTGCAGATTGAGGGGTAATGGAATTTGGATGATCGCACTATGCACGACTTTGTGTAGGCGTTGGTACCGCACGTGCTACGTATTTAGATGCAATAGACCCAAATTATTTGACAATGACGTTATCCGGGAACATACATCATACAAACATTTCGTTTTTTAAATCGCCATGCAGACATACTGTGTTGATTTATTACCTTTAATTCCAACTTACAGAAATAGCTGGATTGGGTTTTAGCCTGGTTGTCCTAGCAACTAAGCCAATGTCTGACGTAATGTTCTTCAATTTTAGGTACGGTGATCGCTCGTGAACGGGAAGGTCCCTCACTGCTGCCACCTGGTGACAAGTCGTCAAACCAAGCCATGTCGTTGGCCATCCTTCGGGTTATCCGTCTTGTTCGAGTGTTTCGCATATTCAAACTTTCGCGCCACTCCAAAGGTCTGCAGATCCTGGGCCGGACCCTGAAGGCTTCCATGAGAGAGTTAGGACTACTCATATTTTTCCTATTTATAGGTGAGTACAAGATGTTTTGTTTTCAGTCGAAGATACACAGATTTTGCTTACAAAGAACGCTTTAAGCTTGCTAAGCGTTGCTCTAGTTGCTGAACAATTTCTTTTAAAGAACATTAACTCAAGGACAGCCGAGATCTTTTTGTTTCACGTAAATGGAATAATGTAATTGTAAACTAGGATGATTTGGAGACAGTTCATAACGAACTAGATGTTTTTGCATATTTTTCGGTTTTTGTTTTCTAAATATGGGTAGAGGGCTTTTCTTGTCACGGGTTTTGACCTTATATACGATTGTGCCTGTCTTAAGACTTTCCCATGGATTGGGGTGTCTATGAGCCTCTAAAGTGGTTGCAAATGTCCGCTTCCTATATCGAAGTAACTGTAAGTAGGTTCAGTTTAAGCTTTTCTTAGACCTATTGCTTAAAAACAACAGTGCTAGTTTTTCATTTTATCTTACTCATAGCATGATAAAGTTTGATATCGGCGTTCATATTTGGCCCCACGTTACACATTTTAGCTCTAACTTCAACCAACTCCGTTCTATCATATACTGTATGACACACATATATCTTTATTAAGGTAGTTCACAAAATACCTTAACTATTTTTATCGCAAAAATTAAATTGGAACATTTAAAACAAATTAGGGAATATATATGCATTTTATGTTTAGACTGTTTTGCTACTGTGTGTGAGCCTGAAAAGTATAGGTTCCAGTCACGTTCATATAGGTCGTGATGGGTATCTTGGTCAATCGTTTACAGGTGTAATACTGTTTTCGTCGGCTGTTTACTACGCCGAAGCCGATTCAGAGAGGTCGTACTTTAAGAGCATTCCGGACGCGTTCTGGTGGGCAGTGGTCACAATGACCACAGTGGGATATGGAGATATGAGACCCGTTGGTGTCTGGGGCAAGGTTCGTATGTTTTTCCTTTATAAACAAAAAAGGTAGTAAGTTAGCAAGTTAGCTATTTAGAGCATAATTTCCATAGCTAACCTTCTGGCCGATAGAAAATACTACAGTTAGTCTTCCCAACGACGAGGTTTGAATAATAAGGAAGATTACGACCAAAAACAGACAAGATCCCTTTGACGTTATCTTTCACAATGACCTGGGAAATCTCGAATGTCTTCAACTGACTGTGTAAGTTGATCTTCTGCAATTCATCACAACAACTGTAATCTTATGTAATGATAATAATGAGATAGTATTACAAGTACTTTTTGCGTTGTAAGTTTTGTACGTATGTTGTGTGTCACGGCTATGTCGTGACTTCTACAACCGCATGGACGCATAGATATTTCGTTTAGTGTATATTTAGGCAAGGTATTTAATGGCTCTTACAAATATAATATAGCACTCGCAAACAAATTTAGCTTAAATTTTAAATAAACGATTATTTTAGAAGATAACCAAGTTGCATGAGTCGGAAGAGGGTTAGATAAAGCTATATACGTAGTCAGCAAGTTCGATTTGCAGCGAGGGTTCGCTAGTAGTAATATGGCTAGTAGTAGTGTGGCCCTTTTTCTTCTAGCTTATTCTTATTCTAGCTTATATTAATGTTATAATTCTAGCTCAATAAATAATACAAAGAAGAGGTCCAATAAGTGAGGTTTTTCTTTTTAAGCACCCAATATACCTCAAGCGAGTTGTTTCTTTATAGGGCGACAAAACTCATTGAGGCGTGTCCTTGTCTCTTCGAAACGTATCCCTGCAAAGCTATGATTAAAATACAATTCTTCCAGTGCCGAAAGTGGGGCACTATTGGCTTTCTCGATAAGAGTTCTAATTCTACCAGTAAATAGGGTTATTTGTCATGCTCTGCATCTTAAGCCTATAAAAAAGCGTCAATATATGTGTGTGTGTGTACGATGTGCCGGATTGATCAGAAGCTGACGATACGTTGTCAATGACGGTTTCTGATTTTCCTATCCCAAAGCTATACATCATCTGCAGTTACTAACTGTCTAGAACCCTGAACTTTTTCTGTTCTGTTCATTTTGTTCGCCATACTCATTAATTCCCGCTGCTACGACACGCTCATTATTTGCACCGGCGGAACAGGTGGTGGGTTCACTGTGCGCAATCGCGGGAGTGCTCACAATTGCTCTGCCCGTTCCTGTGATCGTGTCCAACTTCAATTATTTCTACCACCGAGAGACAGACCAAGAGGAGATGCACGGCGCGCACAATTTCTCACACGTCACCTCGTGTCCATATCTGCCCGGGCCGACCGGGTCCGCCGATAAAACGACGGGGGCCACGGACGGGGTGGGCTCCCCCAGTGGAGGTGGTACGGGCGAATCGCCCTCACATCGAGGCTCGCTGCAGCTCCAGCAGCAACACGCGCGGCTGTTCCACCAGGCGAGTGCCACTGCCGCCACGCTCGGCTCCCTCAACAATCCCGACAGTATTGGCCCTACTGCCACCTCGCCTACGAATCGACATCGACTTGTGAGTCTCTTTTCGCGCTAATTTCACATCCGAGTATATACCCCACAAACAAACGTCCCTTCCAGACTATTATCAAACACAAATCAAGCGAAAACACAATGCAGCATTAATTTCGTACTTATGAAATATTTTACTTGGCGTCACTAAACGTGTTAAAGACAAAAAAACAAACAAACATCCTATGCGGTAATTACAACGCCAAAGGTTTTTTGCAGTGTTTAATGTCGACTAGCGTGTCGTTCCCGGTACTAACTGTTCGCTTGCTCTTTGACTTTGTTTTAGGCAAGCATTACTTGTAGGTCGATCGAGGCGGACTGTTGGTCGTGTTCGAGTGCGGGCGATGGTGAGTCGGAGTGTGCGCCCGATCTCAATTCGCTTACCGCGCCACTCACGTTGTCGACGGTGGCGCCCTCGCCCGAAAAACGCATCGAAACAGATGTATGATATTGGCTGCTATACCTGCAACAGCGTTTTGCTATTGCTCGTTATTGCCACCATCTACCTTTGGCGCCCGTCCTTCTATCGTGATAGGATGTTAACAATGATGGCAACAAAGAAATTTCATCTGAGACAGACTTCTAGAGCTGACAGTGTAATATGCACTCGAGGTACAAAGAGAAAATACTGCTCGTTAACGGAAGGGAGCACTTCAAATGCAATACAATTAAGACCAATCAGGAACACAAATAGGGTGGAGCAAATGGAAACAAGGACAAATATGCAGCAGCTATATGTCACAATGGGGGGGGGGGGGGGGTACAGTAAAAACAGCACCAAGAAGCAATGAAAAGGAGGAGCCTTACCGAACGCGCGTGCGGCGGCTTCGCTGCTCCCTGATCTCCACTCGTTATCGACAGGTTGCTAGTTTAAAGTGATGGCCTGTAAAGTTTCTAGCACAGCAACCGATTTGCTGGCCGTCTGCGGTGCGATCAGTAGATCGTGGCCTGATTGACCTTCAGAATGACGAAATAATGACAAAAAACGCATAAGAGATGAGAGATAACAGAAGATAACAGGATACTAATAAAAACTAGAGCGCAGTATCAAGTTATAAATACACCTTTAAGCGCTACTTAGCCTCTCATGGATCGCAAGTAGTTAGACGACTATTCCATCGATAAGCTGCTGCGTGGCCTACAGACTCCGATTAACAGGTCTGATCAACCCTATCTACATTTATACGCCATATCTGGCATATTTATTGCCGGCTAGTCATCCATTCTCCGATATAAAAATGAAACCTGCGGGAAAAACAACACGGACGGCTATGGGAGACGGAAAGGCGCTTAAAAAATGACGCCCTTAAGCGAGAGCCTTGCTATTTCGCTAGAGTGCTACCGCACCTCGGGTCCTATGCGAACGTACACGGTATCCTCTTTTCTCACACTTTGCACGATTCTCATTGTTTTCACCAAAAAAGTCAAAAACAAGGTCATTTGACGCTATTCTAAATATATTAACATAGCTCACAGGTTAAGGGCTTCTACCTGTCTATGGCGGTATGAAAATATACACGATGAGAACTGCAGTAACGTGGACTGTCGCAAATGACCCGGTCGATATCCGTAGTGCGCATTGAATGTCGCCATAGCCCACTTTTTCATGTTAAGATGTGCTCAGATCTGATTGACTCACTACCCGAATGAGTGAGGGTTCAATGAATGAATGAATGAATGAATGACAGTAGTTATAATAACAGAAAAACAAGCGCGTGACTGATTAAATGCTTTCTCGTTGAAAAATGCTAATAGAGCATTGTGATGACTGCTGAGGATACTTAGCGGTCGCCGAGATGATCTTCATTTGATGATGAAGAAGACGAATCTGTGAGGTTCGCGCATGCTGTATACTTCTAGCCCTACCTTTCCCTTTCCTTCCCGCTCTATAATATTCTCGTTGAATCCCAGTTGTTGCCGATATCGGCGAATCTACTAGATCAATGATTAAAATGATAAAAATAAGAATTATGAAACTAACTGACCACATTAATATCCGCTGTACAGTTCTCCATCATCAGCATGCAGCTGCTTGAGGGGTAATCAATACGACAACTATAATATTGTAACAGGAATCCGTTCATGAGATGATGATGAGAATAATCAAATGGTGACCGCTATTATTTGTACCATACAATTATCACTATCACTATAAGAAATTGTCGGCACACCTTTGGGGATAGCTTAATGCAAGCCCCCCCCCTGAGGTAATAACAACTACAACTTCTACTACCGCTGACACGGCACAGAAGCTCCTATAGTCCGTTAATGATCGTGCTGGTAATAAGAACGACGATCAAGTCACCCCTACTACAGTCACAACAACAAATAGACAAAATGTGTATTCTGTAAAAATAACAGATATAGGTTCGAACGATGGTAGCGTGACAGACAATGGAGAAATGAATACGGAGAAAGAGAAAAGGTTTCATCAAATAGAACACACTATTTGAAATTTATATAAACAACGAAATAGTTACCTTAGAGAACAAAGAACAACCAGTAATTTTTGTTTGACATTATAAATATAACATGTACTACTCATGCCCAGGGCCAATCCGCAACGCAAATGGATAATTACTTCCTTCGTCATGTTTGTGCTGGCGTGCTGATCTGGTAAACAAAGCGTGCGATTGTAAGGAAAAAATCATAGTATTCTCTATGAACAACAGTAATATACGGAACTAAGCAAAAAAAAACAGCATGGCTCGCTTCGTTTCGAAATAAATAGTTATATGTTAATTAAATCAGATTTGCTATTAACGATCTGGCGCATTCATTGGCGTCGAACGGTTGTTTTCTAAATACTGCTGATGTTAGCTTTTTTGTAGTGTCCAATATACATAACACGTGAGTGAGTTTAAGTCGCAATTAAATTGCAAGTAAGACAAAATGTTTTAAGGTCCACGCCTGGTACTTCAACCATAATGCTTCAGACGGGTGATAGCTAGCACAAAACAAAAACGGTCTACGTCCGGATTCGAACCTAGACCATCACGCATCCCTAAATTCCACTTGCACAACTGCTGTAAAGAAAATCGATACTGCCGGCTGTCAGATCACCTGAACACCCCACGGAAATTCGCTTCTATAAATTATTCAACCCGTCATCGTTTCATGCAATCTGACTAGTTAAGCTTACTTGATTTTATACTTAACATCGAACAGTAACTTTTCATTGAGTGGTGCTAACAAACTGCTTGACTTCCAGAAGGGTTTGTGTTGACGTTGTATCTTGCAGTATGACATACTTGCTTAGTTCTTTGCGTTGACTGAATTATGCAGAAGGCATACGCATGATGCACACTATCAAGGTGACTGTTAGAATAATATTATATATCATTATATCTTAACTCGTTGTCGGCATTATAGGTGTGGGCCACTAAATACTAGAAACGTTCGTGGTCGTTATAGCAGCTCACCTATTTCTGAACCGTGTTCTCTCAGTATCTCCTAAAGGCGTGTCGGGTCGGAGCTTAATCGCATCCGAGCGTGATCTTAAAAGGTAAATGCTGCGTTGGTATGAAAGTTAGGGTTTATTGCAGCGCGTCATTGACTAAACACCAGAGGCTCAGCGAGTTACTGAGGTTACTCTGCAGTGTCGGCGACATACATGGTACGGGATCGGGCGTTACCTAACGATATTGGTGGCGATAAAGAATAATTGTCGGACAATCAAAGTAGATTTATAGGTAAGGAAGGTTCGTGGAATGGGAGCCTGACGAAAAATGGCAAGAAATAAAGGGCCACTCCGACACATAGCTATAGTAATATTAATAACAAGGATTATAGTACTATATGGATATATATATATATATATATATATATATATATATATATATATATGTTAGATGATGCTGGTGGTATCAAACTTGCCGGTCGTTGGCTCAAATTATATATATGTGTGCATAGCGTCGACGATATAGGGCGGCACGAGCGTTGAACGACAACGACGACGACGACGGTGAGGAGGAAAAGCGAAGATGATGACGAGTTAAATGGGTGGTGATATCAATAGTGATGAAGTGCCCGGTACCGTGCCTCCGACCCGACACTCGCATAATGATTGCACTTCATTCTAATCTTATTCGATGGGAAAGCAAACTAACGGATGACAAGAGACGAAACGGCTCCTAAAACAATACATGTCGTGTTAAATCTATATATCGAGTTCACTATTGCATCAAGTAATGACATCATGATGAAGGTAGATGACAGAGCGATAGTAATAACAAATCATAAAGACAATTTTAGAAACAGTGGCGTTACTGGAACTACAAGGCCAATTAGTGTCTGTAAATCATTTGCTGCTGTTGTATAATGTTGATAAATCAATTGACTGCTGTCTCGCCGATGACATGATTAATATGTGCTGCTAATTCTCACGGGTTACCCTGTAATCTTGTCAACTGTATAAGAGTAATGATGAAACACTTGCAATGGAAGAACTATAATATATCTAATAGAAGAAAATGATATTATCCGAATTGCCAGCCAACTGGCTATGGGCTTCACCGCTGGCGCGGTCAGAAAAACGGAACTGCCGAAATTACAACGGCAGTATCTGAAGGTAGCCGTGTGACGTTGAAATGGAGAAGACGGAAGGTTGAAATACTATGAAGCTGCGAGGTCGACAGGTCATGGAAAATCTGAAGGAGTGATTCTAAGTTGCCTTCGTAGAGTTCAGTATGCACAGCGCTTGGAGGAGACAAGGGCTAACCGACTGATAGGCAGGCACGCAAACTAAAAGAACTGAAGAACTTCTCGACACTTTCAGTATGAGCGCGATAAGCACCACTGGGTGATCGGCCTGCAACCAACCGCCAAAGCCTATCCTAATTAAACTCAATTCAAATCGGGTATTTTTTTCCGGTAAAAACCTATGTAGATTAGACTGATGAGCACTCGCCAGATAGTATCTGTCATTTAGTCGCTGGGTGCAACTTCACGATCTAAGTTGTGGATAGTAGCACAATTTTTTACTTGAAGTTGGCATCGTGTTGAGTGACTTCGTTTATAATTGTATACGGTACTTAAGATTCACAACCCAAACGTCCTCTGGAGCCCCTTTACTTCAACAACAGGACATACATTCCTCTGTAGCATATTAATTGCCCGCTTATTTTGTTCGACTCATTCGGATTTACTGATATGTGCCTTTCTCATAGGCTGGTTCGCTGTCTCTATGGGCACCGTTTTGATTCACCTATTACAACCTGATATTTCCATTAAAGCACCCGTATCGGCTGACCTCGTGCCGTCTATGGCCGTAGAGCAACGGTGGTGGGATGAGCTAGCAGAGGTTTGTATAGCCCGGGTTACATCATTGTGTATTTTGTGTATATTGCGTAGCCTTCTATCGTTTGTGAAGCTTTCTAAATTAGGCTACCTGTACGGCAGCGTCCTACTTTCAGACGAAGAAACATTCACTGATATACATTGGATACGTTTGAATATCTCAAACAGAACACACAATTAGATTCACCCCCTTTAACTGAGATAGCATGCGATCTAAATGAAAAGGGGAGCAGTAACACATGGCTATCTATCTGTGAGCGTGGCTAATGTAGAATAGATACAGTATTGTTGTATGCTGGGAGACGAGAAATCGTGAATGGTTAAACGCTGTAGCTGCCGTACTGGGAGTCTGTTGACCCGACATCTGCTGGGCATCGTCAAGGAGGTCGCCTGGTGGATGACTGATTATTGCTATATGGTGATACATTGA